TTAAGGAACTTTTTGAACAGTTTTTGTGAACACTGGCTGAATTTCCTGAGAGCTAAGACAAAATGTTATGTTCTGTATTCTGCTGCCTGCATAATTTGACATGTAATGCACTTGCTAGTTTTGTCTGAGAAGCATATCATAGGGAGGTTAATTGGATGTGTTATTTTTAAGTAGCAGGATAAAGTACACTGGAGAGGAAAAAAGAAGCTATGAAAATTCGGAGAATGCATTAGGGATAAATGCAAGAAATTATATACTGAGGAACATCTAGACTGTTAAGATTATCTGTAAGGAAGGGCACCTTTTTCACCCTAAAATGCAGTCAAATGGATACCTCCAGCTCATCTACTAGCTTTTAAAACTCATTTTTTCTTGGCTTGCACTAACATGCTCATCATAAAATGTATGAGTCCTGTATGCCAAAGGGAAACAACATAATGCTCAGCTATGACAGAAAAAGCTACACACATTACTTAGAAATATATGTTTTCATTTTCTTCCATGACATATATATGATGCTATTTTTTTTTTCTTATTTGCTACTCAGTGGTTTACCTCCTCCTAAGTATATCATACTTTTCATGTCATATATCTGAGCTCCATCCAAGCAGGATTTACTTTTTCCCCCTCTGTAAGCAGAAGTAGATTAACTGGTTATACTGTGATGTTGGGGTTTCTCAAGAATATCCCAGAGACAGAGGAGCAAAACTAAGGCAAAGTTAAGTTGGGCAAGTGCATTTGTCTTCATCTATTTAAGGATGTCCTTGATTAGGCTGTCGTTTGTTTTCCTGCTAGAGCACAGATGTGACTTAATTCAAAATACAGATTGCTTGTGTATGGCTACATGGCTTGTGCTTTCCAGACACTTAATAGGATGAGTGGTCTTCCTGAATGGTGGGGAGTTTTGCATGCATTAGTATTTGGATAATTTTGTGTGTCCAGAAAGATTCTCAAACTCTTGACAAGTATAAAGAATTAGAGCAAATGTACTGAAGGATGAAGCAGGTACTTCAGTATGTTCAAATGATTTTTTAATTTCAACAGTAGCACCCTCTTGGACATTCTTACATTCTGGCTTACGCTGTTTGCCTTTACCCAGGTGTAGAGCTCAGCTGGACAGAAAGCTAAAACACAGTAGCAATGAAACTGAATAGGAACTTTTAGTCCTACTAGAGATATTGACTGAGAACCACTTCTAGGACATTATTCATTTAGATGGATTTTGGCAGGAGCAGATGAAGGAATGGTGGCTTAAGATCCATGGTTTTTTTCTATTTGTCAAATTCAGGATATCTGTCTTGAAGTTATGTTGGTGATCATGTGTGTGTGCAGCCTGGGAACTGTTTGGTCATTCAGGAAGTTCATGCAGTACTTTATTGATGTCTGCTTGTTTTTCACTACAACCCTCCTCCCCCCACCCAAAACTCAATAGTGACTTCAACAAGAACCTGGAGAGTGTTCTACTCTCTGGTTCAGAGGCAGTTTCTCATCTCATTATGTCCTAAATGAGTAAATGTGACATCTCCACCACAGGTAGACACATAAATTGGCACAGACATTTGGAGGTGTTACTGGAGATGACCTGTGGTATTTGAGACATCCTCATAGGGTTGTTGGATATGGTGCAGATCATATAAGATATCCTGGCAGTGGTAGCTGGAGGCAAGGCAACCTGGAGTGGGCAAGGAATTGGGTCAATGCTGTTCATTTGTTGGAAAAATTGTTTTTTGAGTGTTGTTTTTTGAGGGGTTGATTTGGGGTTTTGTTGGGTTTTTTTTTTGTTTGGTTTGGTTTGGTTTGTTTTGGTTTGTTTTTGTTTTGTGGTGAAGTGTGCTGTGTGGAATACTTAGTTGTGTTACTATATACCATAATTCTCGAGAACTTGTTATTGAGACTTGTCTTCCCTGAAATCATGAGGCAGTAGGGTGCTGCTTCCTGCTTTTTAAATGCATAATGAAGTTACTTGCTGTTGACGTTCAGTGTAGCTAGGTTGATACTCCTTGTGAAATATGTCTAACACCTTGCAGTCTAATTTGGATTTTGATGAGGAGGAAGTCAATTCAGGAGCTGGGATAGGGACCACATCCCCATTACTATTGGCATTTCTCTTCCCTGAAGGTTAAAGTGAGAAGAATCACCAGATTAGTGCTGTTTCTTGTATTGCTGAGACAGGTGCTATCACTGTGACATGTTTTTCCTATTGCTTCTGAAATATTCTGTGACATTCAGATGTAGTTGTCTATAATTTCTGTGACTAAGAGGCCTTGTCCTCATGTCACACTGCCCCCAACTATGACAGCTGTAGAGTCTACAGAGCTGTGCTGCAAGTAAATTGTTGTTACAGTAGTTAGGTATGCCAAGAATTTAATTTTTTTTGAGCAGCACAGGCAACCGGCATTTCAGTATCTCTGCATGAGACATTTTTTGGTTGTCAGAGCCCAGATGAAGAGGAGCTGTAATGCAGTGTGTTAAAATGTCATAACCTAAGGACAGAAAGAACCTGAACATATTACAGGTATGTCCCTATGGATCAAGGAGGGAACAAATTATATAAGCAAGTTACTAACATAGACTGGTAGTTAAAATGGCACATTTCTTTTCTTATAACCCTTTTCTTACAACCCTACTTGAGTCTGTAAGTGCTAGGGAATTTAGAGTCTTGTTTTAAAGAGGTAACATTTTTGAATGCATTTCAGTTCCCATGAATAGTAGGGGCTGAAAGCAGTGATTTGGGGCATGCATAGTTCAAACAGCACTGAACTCCTGGTTCTTAATGTGTTCCAATTCCCTCTGTTTAACTACTAATGCATCTTGATTCTCAGCAATGCCGTCAATAACAGCATGCTTCAATTTGTATTTTTCTCCTATGATTTTAATATAAACCAACGTCACAGCTTTGGTGTATGGGCAGGTAGAATTGTTTCCACCATGTTAGTGTTCCACACCACCTTAATTGGAATGAGCCTGTCTCCAAAGGCACATTTATTGATGCTGTTCAGCTGGCTGCATAAACTTGCTTCCCCAAAGAAATCTCACTAGAATTCAGATATCAGATATCTCAACAACTGATTCTCCCGAATAACTAGAATGCCCAAGAGCAGCTTGCCCTGTGCAAGACAGGTCCATTACCAGGAACATTCTGAGCCTCTCCTAGAGGTCACATAAACTTGCTTTCTTCAGAAGCAAGGCCAGTTGATTTGCCCTCCTGAAAAAACATGAAATCACGTGAGAACTCAAAAAAAAAAAAAAAAAATTTGAAAGATTATGGGGAGACAGTTGTTCAAGGTGGTTATATCTTCCAGTAAGTTGCTGAGACACAGTTTTAAACCCTGATAGCATCTCTTGAATGTGACCACATGCAATGCTGGAGATGTGTGCCTGAGCAAAACACCTGGTCTGTTAAATGCTTACACAACTGGTGAGGGGTACATATATATATGGTAAAATAGAAACCTGTGTACTGGCACTTTGCTCCCTAGACAGAACCATTCTCCAGGACGTGGGCAGCCTGCCTTTAGTAAGGCATAGGAAAAGGACAAAAGTGCCCCAGGGTGTGCACTGATACTATTTATCATATTTTTATTGCTTGTTTACTGCAAGTGAAAATACTGGAGCAGCTGAGATGTTTCAGCATTGCAGATTTTATTGTTTTCAGATCTGAAGTGCAGTGTGTCTGATCCTAGCTGCACAAATTAAATACTAATAATCATTCAGCTAGGTGAGCCCTCTGTGTATTGCAGGTAATTACCCTTGTTTTAGAAAGTAGACATTTGTCCACTTTTGTTATCTGTGTAATTCACTGAAGTAGAGACAAATGTCATAAAATGACCCTTGGGTAAAGAGATCTTTTTGTTTTTTTTCTGGAGAGGGAAAGTTTTCCTGAAACTCTGTCACTCCTGGATGAGCTGATTAATTTTTACCTTCATTATATTACTGTTTTCCACTGCACTGCAAAGCATGAATAAGCTCGTGGCTTTTTCTCTGATGGTTTCCCCCTATGTTTCTCTGTGTAAATTATTTTTTCATTTCTATGCTTACCAAGTCAGAGTTTGCTTGCCACTGATTGAAATTCTGGACTGAGCAGTACCAATTAGATTAATTTATGTGGGTTAAATTCTCCTGAAATGCTTTACTTTGGAGTTATATTTATGAGTAATCTATATTCCCTGTGCTATACCTTCCCAGTATGAAGCTGTCAAGGGAGAAGAAATTTAAAGAGAAACAATCTATTTCCTTTGGAGTTATAATGAGATAATATCATCAAAAGGTGCCTTCTTTAGCTACCTACATAACTTATTTAATGTAATGGTGATTTGACTGAAATACAAGAACAAAAATATAAATAATACATAAATGACTGGTCATAGTTTACCTCAGACTAGATATGCTCAGTCTACCTTATGCCATGTCTGAGGAAAAATAAGGATGATTTGGGATTCAGGGTGGGAAGAAGACATGGCACTGAGGTGACTTTTAACTGTTGCTGTATTGATGCTATGTTTGAGCAAGCACAAAAAGAAGATGCAAACAGCTGATGTTTTCCTTTAAAAAAGCTTTTCTGTCTAAATTTAGAAAATTCTTTCCCAAGTCTCCCAAGGATTTTTCCAGAGACAGTGAAAGTGCTCATAAATAACTTCTCACCCTAGTAACAATACACAACACAGCCTGGATTGCTGGGACTTCAGCATCCCCTTACCAGCTGGGTATTGTGCAGCTGTCAAGCCTCTACAGCTTCCCTGTATTGCTGACTGCCTATGAGAACAATAAAAAAAACTAGCAGAAAATATTTTTATTTGTGTTTTTGGAGTTGTTGTTGACTCTTACTAGTGCAACATTTCTTCTTTAGTTGCTGTCAATAAAAGAGTGAGTCTTTGGCATGAGAAGTGTGTGCCGGTGGCAGTTCTTTGGCAGCCCTGCATTCTTACCAGGCTCCTGAAGATAAATTGTCTGAAGTCCTTAGTGCCATAATGCTTCCTTTTAATTCCTGTTTTTTGCTGCAGGTTGGGGAGTTCAGAGCCCACGCCGCAGAGTGGACAGCCAACGTCACCGCCGAGTTCAAGGAGACCCGAAGGCGCCTGAGCGTGGAGATCTACGACAAGTTCCAGCGGGCCACCTCCATCAAAAGGAAGCTCTCTGCAGAACTCGCTGTCAACCACAACCAAGACCTGACCCCCTGCAAGAGAACACTGTCAGTGAACCACCTGACCAGCGAGAAGGACCTCTTGCCAGCTCTGACAAAGACAGACAGCATTTACATGAACGGCTTGACGCCGCACTGTGCAGCAGAAGAGATAGCCGTGATCGAGAACATTAAGTAGCCATGGCTTTGGATCCCAGCCCTTGGGAAGCTCTTGGCTTAGACTAGCCATACACCATTTCTTTCCACCCTGTCAATGACCAGTGCTAGCAGCATTTTATATGTGTGCATGAGTTCCACAGAAAAACTACAGTCCCGAGTTACCATCGCATCTCTTCAGAGACACAAAGACGAATGGCACTGCTGTTTCCGAAAGATGCTGGAACAAGCAATGTTTTCTGCCTTTATCTGCCCAGACTGTTTTTCACTTCTAATGTGCCATATGGCCTCACGAATGAATCTCACTTGTTTATGGTAACAATGTAGCTTTGAGGGATCAGTCCTTAAAATTTCAGGGTCTACCTTACTGAGCCTAGGAATGGACCATTTCTGGACTACAACACATTTGTAAATGGCAAGAAATTCTTATGCAGCCTTTTACCTAAGAAATTTTGGTCAGTGCCTTATCTTTTGAAGAACCAGAACCTCTACAGTTCCTGTACAACTTTTGTTTGTTTGGGTTTTTTTGCATGAGAAGTGTATTTCATTTAAGCCTTTCGTTCTTCTTGAAATTGTGGTGTTTCAAAGGTGTCTGTTGTGAAGACACGAACCAGCATGAATGAATGCCAAAACTCAACAATCATCAATTGATGTTCTTAGTCCAAATTTAAAGGCACTGCAGTTTCAAAAGTTCAAAACCTGTCCCCAGAAGCATTTTGTTTTACTCAGGTCCAGCTGATACTTGTTCACGCTGACTTGTAGGATTTGCAGACCCTTTTCAGGTCTTAGTTTTCCAAGCAGTGTTCAGCAGTTGTTTTTCTCTTCATCAGATGTACCAAAAAAAATCTGCAGCTTATCTATCACTAAATTGTTTGGTAGATGACAAGAGCAAATAAAGAGAAACAGAGGGAGGCTTTAAATTACTGTGTTCTAATAATCACATCCAAAAAAACAATGCAGAAGAATGCAGCTATTTTTAATAAGCATAAACCTTCTGCCAGATATTTGGTATGGAAAGGATTCTTAATTTCCTTTTTAAGCCAAGTCACCCCAGAGGCTACATGATATTTTACCCGTGAATCCTGGTGGAGTGCTTTCCTGAATGTCACGTGGGCTGCCTGTGCCAGAGCTGTGGCTAACGTGGGAATGCAATTGAAACTGGTATCACTGTGACTTTCTACATTTCAAATAGAGATGGCTCTGAATATCAATGCAGGCATGAAGAAGAGCTGATAAATAGCACAATCTGAATATCGGTGATTGTTCAGACAGGATAGGCTGACAAGAAGCAGATCTAAACCAGACTGTGGGTTTTCTTTATTTGTTTTAAGAAAACACATTAATTTTGTACCTTCTGTTTTGCTTATAGGTGTACATGAGATTCAGAAAAAATGCAGGATGAAGTGGATAATTTTGCATTTTTTTCCTTATGTTAGTCTATTGTAACCTGGCTGTACATAAAATGAATAGAACAGGCCTTAAAGAAAAATTTAGGCTCTGTAAATTAAAAAAAGAATGGGACTTTGCTGATTGGGCATGATTCAAGTGGCAAATCTTACAGCATCTCTGACCATTAGATAACATGCAAGATATGAATGTTCATGTTTTTTGGATGCTTAGCTTGTTTTCTAATAAATATAAGTTAATATGTAAATTCAGTGTAAATATCAGTCAATTAACATTTACAGAGAGTACGCTTTTAAAACTAAGAAAGTTCCATGACACAGCACCGAGCAATGCTCTTATAACAAAGACCCTTGTCTCCCCAGCACAGTGTTCTGAATGTCCACATGGCAAGGGTTCTTGCCATGTATAAACTGTGAATTGTAATGAAAAATAAAGTTTTTAATTAAAAGAAGCTTTCCTGAATCTCCTGCTTGCTACAACTGGAATGCTAAGGAATAATTTGTGAAACTGATTTTTATGCTTTCACTGGTTACAAAGTATAGCAGTCTGCCACCTGCTTTAATTTAAGCCTGTTTAGCAATAAAGGCTTGACTTACCCAGCACAGAAATTACTATTTTTTTCCTTGATATTAAAAACTATGCTCTTTGATTGCCATACCTTAAGTTGTGTTTCTTGCTATCTTGTTTCAAAAACTTATCAGGATTCCGCTTCTTCCATCATAGACCACAGAGCTTCTGGCAGAGTTGCTCCATCCTTGCCCTGGGGACGGTGCAGGGAGCTCTGCCCCCTGTGCTGCTGCTTCTCCTGTGGTTGCTGGCACCTTCTGCAGAGTGTGTGAGCAAGCAGCTCTAAGGACAGCAGCCTTTCATACTGCAACAGTTCTTTTCCACAGTGAATATTTTACAGGGGCATCTTTCATTAGGGCTTGGCCAAGGGAAGTAGCGCCCACACCAGCCTGGTGGTAAGTGAGGAAGACTGGAGTTTTTATATTGTTTCCTTCTGATTTGTGTAGGGTGTGTTTTAGTGCCTTTTGGAACTGATTTTTCAGAAAGAGACAGGTAATGTTCAAAGTATATTGTCCTTAATTCCCTTGGATATCTTAGGTTAAAGCCTTGTATCCCTCTAACCTGCTTGTTTCTACTTACCAACCTACAGAAGTGCTTGGCTTTGTGGTTTCTTTCATTTTAAAGAGTCTCAGGACCTGCTGAAAAGAGCATATTTTTTGGAGATCCTGTGGCAATATTTGAGATAAAAGTATGGATACTTAAACCCATTCCGTTTTTATTTGCTTTGACCTTTGAATATGATCTCTGGGAAAAAAAATCTCTGTTAACTTATATATATTTCTTACTTCACTTTTGTAACAGATCTAAATTATCATCCCCTATCAAAATAGATTTACCTGTGGGGAACAAAGTATAAATAAATAAAATCCTTTATTTGGAAGTTTAATAACTGGAGGAGAAAAGATGCCACAGTACAGATGGTATAGGTAGGTAGAGTTATCATGATCCAAACATGTCCAGTGTCATTAGTTATTGGAAAATCCTTTTCTCCTTCTCCACACACAGTGATAGACCACAAAGGGTGAGATGGCTCAGTTAATTTATAATACCTGATGAACTCAAATGTTTTTCTCTTTATTCCCATAAGAGCAGATTTTTATATTAAACAAACCTGTCTTTTATACATGGAAACTTTTCAGACTGCTAATATGCTTGGTACTTAAGCGAGCTTGTGAAAATGGCAAGAGGCTCTTTTCTTTTATCCTGAAAAAAAAAAAAAGCATTGGGAAAATGTTCTGGATGAGATGCAAATCGTGGCACATAGGTAGCAAATTTGTCTTTATAGATTCTTAACAAAACAATTTATTTCTCAGTATTACAGTAAACACCTCATTAATAAAACCAAATTGAAATCTCTTGAAGGGGTAGCTAGAGGTGATCTGTATTGTTTACTGCTGGCTGTGATAATCTTGTTTTTGGTTTTTTATCCTTTGTATTCTTTGGTGTGCTGTACCTCTGTAAAGTGTTGATGAAACCCTCAATTTTTGGGTAGCCCTGCATGAGAGCCAGGGAGATCGGGTTGCAGAGAATTTGTACCATTCCCCATTCTTGCTTGAGTACCAGGGTAAGAACTTTCTTTGGCATCCCCTCCACGTGCTTTGTAGCCCCCAAGCTGCCTCTTGCCCTTTTTCTAATATTTTGGGAGCCTTGAAGTGCTACTGTCAGAGCAGTGAAAAGCATGGAAGGACCAAACCCAGAAGCTTGCTGAATCTCATGAGCATCCCAGCCTCTCTCCCCACCTCTTCCTGATTCGGCAGGAGGAAAGCTCAAGGGTAACAGAAACCCACAGAAAAGCTAAACCTCCAAAGTTTCCACCTTTGACCTGAAATGGACCTTCCTTAGGTCACACTGGGAGACCAGGATGGCAGATGGGAGATCTGTACATTTGTTTGGAGTTCTTGCTCCTTCAGCATTATTCCTACACCAATGATCTCTAAAGAAGAGCACGACACACCCTGCAGAAGAAGAAAGGAGGTTGGTCTACTTGGTCAAATCTACATGCACATCAAAAGTGGATATATATTTATAACTAATTCCTGAGAAGGAGATTTTTCTGTCAGGAAAACTACCTACAGTGTTGGAATATAGCAGTAATGCTTCTAATAAATTCCTGTCATACAACTATATGATAATTGACTTTTCTTTTCTACCCTGCAGTACTGTTTGAAAGGAAAGGATTTTATATATATGGAGAAATACACATTTTCCATGACTTCCAGGATTCATTATTTTGGCATTAAAAAAAAAAAATTGTTTCTGTTTCCCTGCAAATTTAAATGAACAACGTAACCTTATAGTGAATAAAGTGTTCCTTTTCAGAAAAGTAGACAAGATGCTGATTTACTGTTATTGGAAATAACAAGCCGTTGAGCTGCATGGAGATTAAAAATGTCAGCTTTTTCATTTGAGAAAACATTCTCTGCTTTGCCAAATTATCGTTACAATTGTAAAGAGCCTTTGTGAGAATCGATAGGTATAGTTTTATTGCACTTGGGAAACTTGAGTATTTCAATTTTAGGCCATTGCTTATCATGCTTTTATGAACTTTCTGAGGAATATATTGAATAGGCTTGTAAACAAGTACATTACTTATTGTACAACAATACGTCCCCTTCATGCAGAAGAATGATATAGTAGCACATGCAGCTTTATGTTCTGGACCCAGATAATTTGTGCCTTCAATATGTATCGACATTGTTGCATCTTCTTAAATTGTCTACAAAACCCACTTTGGTATAATGACTGTAGTTTCATGTAAACTCGGTGATTTGAAAATATAGCTCAATTTTAAGTCAGCATAGTATAAAATCAATAAACTTCACAACTTTTTATGAATTATAACAGTCTATCAGCACTGGTGATGTAATAAATAATATCTTATTGATTGCCTGTTTTAGTTATTTCTGAATATTAGCTGTTTTTCCTACCCTAGTTGCTGGAGATGGATAATTATGAAGAAAGCAACTCATCTCCGTGGTTTGTGATCAATACACTATGACAGGGCTGCTGGTATTAGAATTCTTAGGAGTTAAAACTGAGGTATTATGTTCTGCCTGCACTATTATTAATTATTAGCAGTAGCATTCATTCAATTCTCTGGGTGCACTGATTTTTCTGGGAATGTCACAAGAGTGTTTATCTCTAGTTTGACTTTGGCAAACAAATGTACTTAGTGAGAAACTTCTTTGGAAGGATTGACTATGTTAATTCAATTGTTAATAATAGCTAATTCTCAAGACTAATTATATGCAGCCAGATCTTCATCCTCCAGAGAAAGGCATGTAACACACGTGTAGTAGAGATCCTGGTGGGAATGTACTATTTGTCATTAGCAATAAATAACAATATTCTTCAGAAGATAATCAACAGCCTGAAATGACTCCTTAAACAGCAGTTTAATGTTAGCTCCATTTCTTTTTCTTTCACTATTAATTTGATCCTTCAAATTAAACAGGGCATCCTGAGAAGTTTTGCTAAAGCAATTCACTTGCTGTGAAAGATGTATTTTAGTCTTGTTTGGCTCAGGGGATACTGGGACTAACTTTGCTGAATGACTAGAAAAGTGAACATATATGTTGAAAACTTTGTTACGGGAATGGGAGAGAATACATCACTGTACTGCTGATGCATCACTTTTATACCAGTGACAGGTCTGCTTCTGTTTTGTGTGGATTTTGCTTTTTCTGCAAAATTACAGTATTCAGTATTC